AAGCTGTGTTTTCTATTAAAATTACATCTTGTATGAATTTTGGGACACTGTTTAGTTCCTCGAAATCTAACGTAGAGTATGTATCTTGAATTGTTTACATTAGGGATGATTTCGTTTGATGTTCCTTCAAAACTAACGCAACTATATAACAATAACTTTTTTGAGGTTACTACAACCACAACTTTTAAGAATCGTAATTTATAAATGTGGGGGTGCTAAGTTCACATTTACCTTTACCTACTTGACAATCAGTCACAAAAAATTTTAAAATTAATTAAATAAACCCTTGTACAAGTTTTTCCGAAGTCAATTGAAGAACCTATATCTTCAAGGTGTGTACCAGGCTCGGTCGCTAAGCAGCAAGTCGGCATTGAAATATTTGAAAAACTTGTTCCCACATTTATTTAGCCATACCCATATACAGATCTGGTCGAACGAAAAGTGCAGGTGGTAGAAATGTATACGCTCAGTTGAAGAAGGACCATGCGGGCAAAGAGCAATGCGCACTGTTTCTCTGGTCCATTGCGTCATAAAATTCAGTTGTCGACTAGTCGCCTAGCAGTGCAGTGCGGCAATGCGGAATTTGGTGTGATTCAGATAATTTTAATTTATTCTATAATCATTCATATTACAATTGCGAAAGGGAAAAATAAGAGGGATATTTGGTTTACTAATATTATTACAACATGGCATTTTGGAGACCTTTTGAAACGGAACAAAACGAAATTGACTACCAATATAATAAAATTGTTTGAGGACATAAATAATTAAAATATGTTGTTGGTCAAATGAACATAATAATAGAAATTTTCTACACATTATATACAAATTATTATAATTTTCTACCTTCTACCGAGCCTTCTACCTAGCAGAAAACTTTTTTAGGGACGCCCATGAAACTCATTAAATTTGATTGCTCGGTTTTTTTATGCATGTTCAACTGACTTCGGAATAACTATACCTACAGAAGCACTCTTTATCTAGTAAAAAAACTGAAAAAAAAAATAGACAAAATTCACAACACACTATATATACTTAAGTTATTGTTTTTCATATTCAGAATTAGAATGACGTTTTGTTTTTAACTAGATTTTACCATTTCTTCTTCATTTAATAACTTATGGAACTAAGTTCACAAAATAAACATGTTGCAAAAAAATAAACATTTTAAAAATCATGGGAAGTTTTTCTTGATTTGCAAGCTTCACAGTTTCTGATAAGTCTAAAACAACCTCATATCTTTAATATATATTAACGTATTATATTTTTAGATTTTACAATTACTTATGTGTAATATCCATATATCTATGCAGTTTTACATTGTCCTCAAAATATAAAATTTACAGAAATCCATCAATTTATTGCAATTTTACCATATATTTTATATAAACTGGAAATTTTGTAGAAAATACATAAATAAACATACAACTGACACTAATAATAAATGTATTTGTTTGCTACATATAGGTACTTAACAGTGATCTTACAATTCACATAACTATTTTTACAGGTTAATCTATACGAAAAAAAAATAGTCTCGAAATTAGTTTTGAGAGTTCTCTAAACTTTTCTTTCTATCTTAAATTTTACCCACCAAACTCCTAAATAGATAAATGTAAAATTTCCAGAAATACATCATTTTACCACAATATTTCATGAACATTGAAAATTATTTTTAATGTTTCTTAAAATGGTCCAAGGAAATTTGCACAAATGTATCTATTACTGTATAAATGCAACATGTACGTTTTTTTTTTTTAAAGTTCGTCGACAAAAACTTATCCAAAGTGAAACGAAGACTACCAGCACCGTCGCGGCCGCTTCTCGTCTTCGGACTCGAACAAATTAAGCGAAATCAAGTAATTAAAGAACAAGCTCGCAGAGATGATGTGCACTGCTAACTGTAACGAATACAACAGGTTATGTTTCCGCGCTGTAGTGTGTGAAACGCGCTGGAATCAACTGAAAGACCTTAATGATCGGTGAGAACGCATATTTAATTAATTCGTTTCTCGTTGCCTGCCCAACTTTGTGACATAATATCTTCTGCGGTATATAGTGAAGTGAAAATTGGGACGGCGTTTTTATATTATATCTGCACGTATGTGCACTTGCTGTGCCTCTCAAAACATTTAGATCCTCCTGATAGTCGCTGCCCAAAAAAAAAAAAATTTATTTCCATTCGCAACTAATTCTTCCGTAAAACAAACATTCCCTTATATAGTTTTTATACCACCACTCCGCTATTTTTCCGAATATGCAATTAAATGCAAAGAGAAGCATCAATTGCGCATACAAAATACCGAAATTAGTAAAACTTTAAGATATTGTTACAGTTTAAGGAATTGTAGGTTGGATTATGTTAGTAAGAATTTAAAATATGGTACCTTCTTGCAAGATAAATTGCAAACTGTAAAACAATTAAGTATTCTGCGAATAACAATTACTGAAAGCTTTCTTGCCGACAATTATAGTTATGAGAAAACACAAACTCTCAACAAGAACAAACTCATTTGGTGGTAATCTAAATTTGACTGGGGATAAATTAATAAATTATATTGTACTTAGGTATTTTTTACAAAATATTTAATTTTCAAGAAATCTTACAAAAGAATTACAAGAAATAATTAAGCTATCAAACATTATTAATGGAAATAACTAATAAAACAAGAGTTTGTAAGGAAGCTGCTGAAATCTTAGTCAAAAACAGTTGGATAACTGTACGAGGATTCTCAAATTGAAATTTCCGACTTATATTTGTAAAAAATGAATTCAAACGAAATCTCAAAATTAAATATAATATAAATTCAACTGTCAAGCTTCCTTAGCCAAAATTAACAAAAAAAGGTCACTTTTTCATCCGTAGCTATAAAAATTCGATTCTAAGCTACATATATTTTAATTACTCGGTATTTATCCTGTATTTTCTGTGCTTAACAATATCCCAATCATGTCTTTCATGCAATGAATTAAAAAACTACAGTATTTTAATTTTAACTGACACTGAAATAGTTACTTTGCTTTGAACGAAGAACAAAATCTATCTGATGCTGCAATAGGTCTTCTCTGGTTACAAATTGATCGTTTATTTATTATACATCGCATTTAAAAAATGCCAAACAGTATGTTTTCTACATATGGCGTAGCCAAGCCTACAAAAGAATGCTGATGAAGCCTTTTCTGGATAACGAATAACGTACTTACGTACGTGAGGCTGTTGTTAAGTTGCTGCGGACTAAAAGGCTTTGTCTAACACGTCCATATTATTAACTACGATCTAGTAAAAACATCTAGTAACACAGTCATTTTTTGCAACTGAAATTTATATCGTTCATCAAATATTCAGTGTTTGTTTAAAATAAGAAATTAGAAAGATATGTGGTAAAACGACTTTAAAAGTTTTGATACCTTTGGAAAATTTGATGGGTAAATAGTAGGTAACGTGAATTATAGTGCTAAAAGTCAACCCATTCAAGTCTCTTGGTGACTGTTATGTCCTCTTACACTTAAAATATGTTAATGTCAACATGCAAATGAGAGTTTGAAAATAATCTTAAACGAAACACTGGAATTACCAAATAACTAAATATATTTGCATAAACTTCGACCATTCACGCTTGTACTAAGTTGTAATAACAGCAAACTAGGTATTATAATTTTTTTAGAATCATATGTGCTTCTGGTATACTCTCAACAGAGCCTTCATATATAAGCAAGTCATTATTAGACCAGTTTGTATTCTTGTTGCTACTAATTGAATTTGTTTGTTACATGCTCAACAGTGATCTTATAATTCGTGTAATTAAATTTACAGGGTAGTCTGTGCGAAAAACTTTAGTCGAAGACTTATGTAAAACTCTATTTCCATCTTTAATATGATCTGAATTTGGTATAATCTCAGCTTTGCTGCTATCTGTGTTGCAATATTTGTATGCAAAGGGAAACATGTGTAAGCTGTATATTTATTTATCGGATTTAAATGAAAAAAGCATTAGTAAACAGTAATATCGAGTGCCAAATAAGATAAGAAATCGAAGAGCCGCAGCTGCCGCACAAACGGTACATCTGTCAAACATGTTGCTATAAAATAACGAATGCGAATACGTAGAATATTAATAGAATTTAGCTTTAATATAAAGCCAACGGCTGCTTCAAAAATTTTAAAGAACATATTTACGGAAATTGCGTGGTAGGTATTTCATTTTGTACAATGGACATCTAAATTTTGTTGCAAGACTTCATACACTTAATAATAGTACAAGTGTTTACCAAAAATTCGCAATTTAAACAATGTTTCAGTAATACACATTAAAATTAGGGGGCAAGATACAAATACGCAAGTATTTACCTACCTAGTTCTCGCAAATTATATTACACTACATAAATTAATTATACTTTGAAAATATAAACAACCTTCCAAAGCATTAAAACATCATAAAAAGGTAGGAAATTGCACTGCCTACAGAGTCTCAATGCAGATTTTCGAAACATTACAAGCAATGTTTTTAGAATGCTTAATATTGTTATGCCTAGACTAGAAAGGTAGGTACACGAACGAAAAGAGGGTACCAATACGAAACCAACCCCTAAGGTAAGGGGCGAAACAGCAACTGGTACTCTACCTATAACTGTTACAACAGTCTTTTTTCTTTTACACAGTACCTAATACAAATATCCACTATAATGATTATACAGAATGAAATAGGTACCTACATGAATACGTTAGATGAAACACACACTGCTGAAAAGAAATAACTCAATTATGATGGTGACTCGACTCAGTCATGCAAAACAAAACAGTTAACATAATGCGTTTTGCAGTTTTTTACATTTTTATGAATAAACTCACATTTGCTTTGATCTCATGTTATTCTTTTACTTATATTACTGTTTACTTAAGTATATGATTTTTCGCGTTGCCTAAGATTGTTATTATCTACACTTCATTAGGTATTTGGTGAATGAAATCTTAAGAGAATAGCTGGCGAACGGGCACCCACCTGTTGCTGTCGTTACTAAGGATAAGAGTACTGTCGTGGAGGCTATAATCCAAAAATAATATTCCTTAGTATTATTGTTAGTAATCCACATTTTAGTTTAACTACCCTCATGGGGCACGGAAAACCACTTTTAATGCACCAATCACTCAAACAACCGATCGCACGCACTATGTATAACACATCTTCGGTTTGTGTATTAAGTCTTTTTGTTTATTCAATGAAAACACACTTTTAAACGCATAGTCCACGCACATACATACACAACCGCTCGTGGCCAGCTCGCATCTGAGGGGGGCTTTGTTGAAGACGCGTAAAGATGGCGTCATATGGTTGTTGTATTCCTACGCGTACGCTCTCCGAAGTGATAGCGTTTTTATCACTGAAAACACCCCGGATTTTATCTCTAAACCGGCCACGAACGATTATAACATTACCAGTTATCGATATTTCCTTATATTCCGCGTCTAATTTCACAGATCTGCAAGAAACGTGCCGTGAGAAAATACTGCGAACTACTTTTCCCTGCAACTTGTCGGAATGTCTTCACTGTCTACCGGTGTTCGCACAGTGGCCAATCAAACGCCTTGCCCCACTTCATGGCCTATGTGATTTGAATTTGGGTTCTATTTGGAGAATACCGAGTGTAAAGAATTTACAGGATTTTTTTTTCATTGTTGTTCCTGTCATATATTTAATTAGGATTTGATTTAAAGATTTGTTTTAATAAATGTAATTATCCGCTGGAGCTATTGAACCAATATGATCATGAGTGAAAAAATGAGAGATATCAACGAGCAATAAAGCTAGCAACTGACACATACCCAACAAAAAGTGTGGTTACGCCGAAAAATCTTGATTTTTTTATTAAAGACATATACCAAACATATAAAACCTCTATGTTTCTATGTTTATAATAAATTTAGCCTTTTTTAATAATACACTTTTAAAGTATTTGATTAGAATTGAGGATTATAGCCAGGAAAAAAAATGGTAGTTTTTTTTATTTTATTATTTTAATATTGTATTTAAAAAGGTATATACAGGGAGAATAATTTTAAGATTTTTTTTAACTACGCTTTGCATTAAACATTAAACTCTGTCCATCCCCAGAGTCGAGAAGGATTTAGATTTATATGTATATACTGAGGGTGACTGGTTTACTGATTTTTGAAAGGGCTGAGACGAACAAAGAACGCGTTTCCAACGTTGTGCCAAAAATATTGAAAGGGCGATGTAAATAAACAAAATTTTTATTCGATAGGGGACGTCTAGGAATCAAACAATGCCTGTTGACAAGAGTGAGCACGCGTTCAATCATGTTCTAATATTACATGCTAATGCTTTAATCAAAAGTGTAGCATAAAATTGTCCACGAAATTCAATAAAAATATTTGATTTGCCTATAAAAGTTATGTACAGGAAATGTAAAAAAGGTTGCTCCACATTTTTAATGGCCTGCAATTTTCACTGTTTTTCAAATAGAAAAAGGTCGAAACGTTGATCTTTATCTCAGTGTAGTTAAAATCAAGTAAAAAAATTATTTGTATCCCTCCACAACTACTGTAAATAAAACAGTGACTTTCATTTTCTTAAAGTGCATATTTCTCAGTACAACCACAGTATTTTTAAATTAATTTTTGCACGTGCTTGTAATTGAAAATAAATCTTTGTAAGTTGAAATAAATACTAACCTACTAGTACACCTGATCCGGTAAAAGGTGTTTATTGGAATAAAATAAGGACTTACCCATAAAGTCCTTCAATGGAAGGAATTACGTTGACGTGAAATATTATATGCACCTGTATACCGATTCCTTTTACAGGGTTTCGCAAAAAAACTTCTCTATTTTAAAACACTTGAAACATATCTATTAATTATTTTTAAGGTTTATTCAGTGGCGGCTGGTGATAGTAAAAAAAATTAATTTAAAATTTAGTTTACAAGGTACATAATTAAATATATAATAATACCTATAGGTATTACCTCCGTAAAAAAGAAAATGTTTTTATAATGTGAATGCAAAATAACTTCATTTCCAAAACTCTGGATACGCGTGGGCTCCTCGTAGCTCGTCTCTACATCTGTAAAGTGTTTACAGCGGTGGTCATGGTTACCAACCATCACGCAGCAGTGAAAGACTGAGTGTTAGTAGCGCATATTTACAGAGTAGATTGGGCTCTGTTTAGTCGGACCGTAACCAAATAATAACTATTCACCGCTTTTTTTCTTAATAAATACAATTTTTTCAGGTACGGTCTAAAATTTTGTTACTTTTGTTTCTTTGTGGTTTTTTGTTTGTAGCATCTGCAAACATTAATCATGTGGGAAATACCAAACTTTAAGGTGATTGAAAAGTTTATTTCAGACAAAAGCAGGAGGAAATGGATTTTCACTATAAAAAATAGTACCTACATTTTCCCTAGATTTCAATAGTGGGTACTTAAAATAAAACTGCCCAATTATATTTGTTTTTTTTTCAATACTTTGTACCTAAATTTTTCCGCCCTCCCTGGTTGGAAATCAAAAACCGTCACTGAGTTTCTTTATATACAGGGTGTCCCATTTATGTTTCAAAAAACTCACTTTCACTTGTGTGCAAGTTCCTCATAGGAAAATAATAGGGGTAGTTCATATAAAAAATTTTTCTTAGACGCCCTGTTTTCGAGATACAGTGTGTTGAAATTGTTACTTTCCAAATGCTTTTCCTTAATTCACAGGCCGACAAAATTAAAAAAAAAATCCAGAGATCAGACACTACGCTTCCGAATGCATTTGGCGCGCTGAATCCGAATCTGGCCTCAGAATTGATCCGTCACCCTAGGTTTCCGAGATATTCTAACCTAAAAGTGCAAAAAACACGTACTTTTGCTATATTCAAGGTTATGTAACTTGGCGAAAAAAATTTTTTTCTCAAAACTGAAAACATCATTGGAAACGACTATCTTTCCCCTTCAAAACGCATTTTTTTATTTGGAAAAAGCTCTATTTTTCGCGGAGATATCGTCAATTTAAGATGACCAGTATGGCTATATTATTACATCATGGCTAACCCCATAACACTGAGCGCTGCTAGCCCTAATTGTTAGGAACGTTAACCCCAAGCCCTATAACCCCACAACACTAAGCGGAGCGAGCCCTCATCGTCAGGAAGGTTAACTTCAAGCCCTATAACCCAATAACACTAAGCGCTGCGAGCCCTAATCGTCAGGAAGGTTAACCCCAAGCCCTATATGTCTGGAAGGTTAATCCCAAGCCCTATAACCCCACAACACTAAGCGCTGTGAGCCCTAATCGTCAGGAAGGTTAACTTCAAGCCCTATTACCCAATAACACTAAGCGCTGCGAGCCCTCTAAGGCTCGTAGCGCTTAGTGATATTGTGTTATAGCTCGAGCCATGGTAATAAGGTAGCTATACTGATCATCTTTAATCGACGATATCTCCGCGAAAAATAAAGCTTTTTACAAATAAAAAAATGCGTTTTGAAGGGGAAAGATAGTAGTTTCCAATGATATTTTCAGTTTTGAGAAAAAAAATTTTTTCGCCAAGTTACATAACCTTGAAAATAGCAAAAATACGTGTTTTTTGCACTTTTAGGTTAGAATATCTCGGAAACCTAGGGTGATGGATCAATTCTGAGGCCAGATTCGGATTCAGCGCGCCAAATGCCTTCGGAAACGTAGTGTCTGATCTCTGGAATTTTTTTCTTGTTGGCCTGTGTTATCTTTAAAACGGCTAAAGATAAAAATGTCAAAATTTAGGGTAAACAGTAAACATCAACTGTGCGTTAAGAACAATGTGCAAAGGGTTTCTTTCTGAAAAGCAGTGTCGCCGATACAGGTAATTGAAGGGGTGCAATCGAAGAAAAAATACGTTAAAATCAAAATTTATTATATTTCTAAACTGTTCTGTAAACTCTAAAGGATACTAAAAAAAAGGTATACTTGTCGAGATTCGGTAGCCTGTACCATTTTCGAGAAAAATGAAGTTGCATTTTTTTGTTTACATAAAGCGGTACAAGTAGGTACATTAACAAATTATTAAATTGAAAGAGGACCTTACCATTGAATGAGCTGAATACATTTAGCTACAAACAGTATTTGCATTTAAGACTATAATTTTAATTTCTTATGTATCACATGAAACAGTTAAATTGTAGAACATTTTATTAACTAAAAAAAAAATAAAATTTATTTTAAGTTTTTTTTTCAGTTTGTTGTAAACTAACATTTAAAAAAGTAAATCAAAATAAACACATTATGTTAATTAATTAAATAAATGTGCAAACTCGAAATACTACAGTAGATACTGAAATTGTCCCCCATTTCCTTCTATGCATGCAACTTCATTTTTCTCGAAAATGGTACATGCTACCGAATTTCGACAAGGATACCTTTTTTTGTAGTATGCTTTAGAGTTTACAGAACCATTTACAAATGTAATAAATTTTGACTTTTAACATATTTTTTTTTTCGATTGTACCCCTCCAATTACCTGTATCGGCGACACTGCTTTTCAGAAAGAAACCGTTTGCACATTATTTTTAACGCACAATAGATGTTTATTCGTCTACAAATTTTGACATTTTTATCTTTGGCCGATTTAAAGAATTAAGAAAAACCATTTGCAAAGTAACAACTTCAACACACTGTATCTCGAAATCAGGGCGTCTTAGAAAAAAACTACAACTTTTTTTAAACATGAACGGGACACCCTGTGTAACAAAGTCTTTTGGGTAAGTATATACCTATTTCAAAAATGACCAAAATATGTATAGTTATAAAAGCCATCTAATATATAGGTGTTATTTTTTAACATTATATAGCAAAAATATTTTTAAAAAAAATAGTAAATAACCCCTGCGCAACAAAAATCAGTCAACGTGGTTTTTTAAAAAAAAACTTATTTTTGCACATTTTCCAAATTCAAATCCAGACGCTATTTCAAAATACATAATATACCTACGTTACGTTAAAAAGATGAACTAACAAACTTCGAAACAAAAATAATGGGGGTGTCATAACATTTTTTTTATTAAAGTTCGTCGTTATGGAGATAAAGTTGGTGGTGAAGTTGAAAAGAAAAAAAAAATATATTTTTTTCCAAAACGCTTAATTTTTTAAAAACCGTTATACTATTTATACTAGGCTTTGGTAATAATCTGCATTACTTAGTGATTCAAGTATGTTGTGTGTCCAGTGACGGAGGTTTGGGGCGACTTTTTCAGTAGAATGTCTGCGTCCCTGATTATTATGATAACAGTAC